TAAATGAAATTAATCAATATTTTAATTAAATATTACAATTTTTTTTTCAATTATGTGGAGATATTATATGTGTTGTTGAATTATTTTTAAATTTTTGATATATTGTTGTTTCTATTATTTTTTTGTTATTTTTTTTTTTTAATTGTAGACATTTATATGCCACGTTGTCTGTAATCCTAACATTTCATGAAAAACTTAAATAGTTATTTAGTACCTTATGTATTTATAATCTATATGACTTTTAAAGAATGAGTTTGTAATGATAATAAATATAAAGGTAGAAAATAGATTAATTTTTAGTAAATATTGTGAAATTGTTTATATAAATAAAAATTTAAAATTTGCTTGTTTTTGGTTAAAAAATTTTGATACGATAAAAGTTTATAATCTTAAAAAGGTATTTTTGAATAGGAAAATTTTAAACATCTAAAAATAATAAAATTTAAAATGTACAATGTATAATAAATATTTTTTAGATATTTAAAAATAATTCTAAAATCAATGTTTAATAAATAAATAAATAAAAATATTTTAAGTTTTAGTTTTTTAAATTTTTTTAATATTTTTAATATTTATGATATTAATAGAGCTAGCTAAAAAATAAATCAAACGGAAAGAATACAATTGACGTAATTACTATGAAGCCGCCCGAAGAGAGATGCTTAGTCATGTAAATGAAAAATAAAAACACAGCAAAGCGATTCGGTAATCTTATATTACGTCGTTGATGATGCAATTTTCACAGAGACAAGAAGAAAAACAATAGTTGGTCAGCTTCGGCCACGTAGATCTAATGCCTGCAGGTCAAAACAAAAGGTCAAATCTTCTTCTTCCAATTTAAATACTATTAATAAATTCCTAAAACCAAACTCCCTCAAAACATTAATGAAGTACAGTGAGAAAAAAAAAATAAAGTAATTATTATGCATATTTCCAGGAAAAAAAAACTTTTAAACATATATATCAACTGTTGAGAGTTATTATGATTTAATTTGTAGTCTTATATTTGAGTTCTAATAAATATAATTATATTAAATAGTCAATTTGTTTACTGTTTATAGTAATTTTATTCAATTTAAAAATAATTAACTTTGATGAAAGATACTTAAGATATAGATAAAGAAGAAATCAATATATATTCAAGTGAAGGTTTGAGTATTCACGTGTTGCTCTTAACTTAATATATCCATCTTCATGAAACCAATAATGTATAACAAACCATGAAAAATTAAATGAATTACAATGCGTAGACGTTTAAAGAACAACATTGATGTATTAAAACAAAGAGAAAATAATACCAGAAGGTGGTGTTAAGATTAAAATAACCACACATACACAAAGAAAAACGCATAATAGTTGTTATTATTTTAAAATTTCGAAAATCAGCATCTCGCTGTTTCACAACGCTAATATATAAAATGAAAATTTTTCTACTTAATAATCAAATAAAAAAAAATATAACTATAAAATAATGTATAAAGATATTACAGTAGTCTTTTAAGGCCATAATTAAGGGTATGTTTTATATATTACGTTGGGTTAAATTTTTAATGAAAAAAAAAAAAAACTTTCTTATTTATTTTTCATATTATGTGTAATGACTTTTCAACAAATACCCATAAACATCTGAATTTATTTCGTCTTCGTCAACAATGCCAAAATGAAACTGTACGTGGTAATGGGAATTTTCTCTCCACATTTTGAGTTTTAAACCTGAAGACGTAAATTTATCGGTCACTATCATTATACATCAATTATAGTATTGTGCTGATGTGATACGATCTCATTCATTTAAATCATATATCTAACCCATTATATGATTTCTTAGTAACAGTAGAATTATTTAAGTTTTAAATTATTTTGGTATTATAAAAAATGATCGTCAAATCAATATATATATATTAATGAACTTTAAATTGAAAACATTGCCATATACTGACAATTTGACATTGCGTTTTCTCTTTATCGACAGAAGTTTTATTTAATAAATTATATTGTTAAAATAGAAAATATTACAAGTGTATAAAAATAATATATATTATTCATATTCGGTAACAATATAATAAATAATATTAATAATATAATTTTATAATATTTATATTATTATTTAATTTTGTTAAAAAACATACCAACAAATATTTCATGTTAATCAATATATGAATTTTCTTTCATGCAAATAAGATACATTCATATGATGCATTTAGGCGAGAGAGGAAGTTATAAATGAGGATATTTTTTTTATTTAATTGAAAAGTAAAAGCATTTATAAAAATAAAAATTTAATATTTTCTTCTGATTTTAATTCAAACATTCAAATTCCCTTTAAACGACTTTTGGTTCCAAAACTAAATTGCATGCAACCAGCACAATAAACTTGAAAAATAGCTTGTTTTGGTGAGCATTTTTGGGTCAAACATTCGCTTGCATTTAATTTAAGTGATTGTCACAGATAAGATACCATCAGTTTATGAATTTGTTTAGATGAGAGAAAAGTTATAAATTTATAACTTGATATCATTCTTTAATTTTATTAAAAAAACATACCAACAAAAATACTTTTAACATCTAATATTTCTTGTCAATTAATATAAGATTTTGTATAGACGGGAGAGAGAAAAAGTTATAAATTATGATATATTTTCATTTAATTAAAAAAGAAAAACTGATTTTGTCTTCTATTTTTAATTCAAAATTTAATTTTTTTCTCATCTTATTTTTTTCTAGTAAAAATAGGTGGCTATGTGACTTTCTTGCAAATGTAGTTTTAGATAAAAACAGAGTGTACTTTTGGATGCCAGTCAACTTCACGTAGAAAAACGTTTATTTTATTGTAACATAATTTAAAAAAAATGTTTAAATGCTCTTAATTAAAATTGATCTTGAATCAAAATTGACGTTTTAACTTATATAGTAAATTGTAATATTTACATTGAGTTGAAAATTTTATACTAATTTTTATTATAAATGATAAATTTATAAACATAAATCACGCTACTTTAAGCTTACTTTTAAATAAAATCAATTGGCGTAAATTTTGAAGAACTCTCGTTTGCATTTAATTTAATTGATTTTCTCAATTTGGCTGTGTTTATAGCTCACTTTTTGGTGCAAAATTTTGAAGTTCCTGCAAATTAACCTCTCATCTGTGATAAGTGAAATACTACAATCCTCACTTTTACTGAAAGAAGTTATTTTCTCAAATTTAAAACTCATGATTATAGAAAAATAATTAATTTTTAAAAATGTATATACATTTTTAAGTGACTTGATTTCTTAATTCATTATGTTTTAAAATATATCATCGCATGTTTTAATTAAAATTAAGAACTCATTTTTCATAATTAAAAATATTTTATCGTTTAACTTTAACTAAATTCAATATGCACTTTTATAATTTTATAATTTTCATATATTTTATATTTATTCTTATAAATTTTCTCGAATTTTAAAACACTATGCAATGCATACTTGTGAATTCAAATTATGTTACTTTTAACGTTGGTGCATTTAAAAATGGTTTTATTTTAGACTAATAAAATACCGTTTGAATGTAGGAGTGATTGATTACAAGTTGGGTTAGGTTAGGTTGAAAAAAATTAAGGTGGAAACTAATTAAAAAAGTGTAGTTTTATTTTTAAGAAAATTTTAATTGAGTCAACCTGATTAAATATGAGTTGGGCATATGGATCGAATCATTAAGTTGTGCATGTAGTTATTTAAAAAGATTTGAAAGATTGAAATTATAAAATGAAAAATTAACAAATACATATAATAAAAATGAGAAATAAGAGTTAAGATTGAGTTAGCTTAGAGTATTTTAAAATTAGTTGACCTAAGACCCAAACTAAGACATAGCAAAGTTTTACTTGCTTTCATCAAACCATTGTGATGTCCAAAACCATTTTTTCCAATTTTGCTCTTGCATGGCGATGCAGATTGTTCCATAAAGGCATGATTTCAAGGTGTATGACTTTTGTATATTACCATATTTTCCAGAATCAGCGCATCAAACCCCTCGAATTGGATAACTGGCACCGGATGTAAATCGCTGATGTTATGTTTGCATTAGTGAGTTTAAACCAAAGTGAGTTAATCGCTTCATGTACCTTGATTCGTGTCACATAGCATTCCTTTCTTTTTCAAATGAACGAGGTTTCAATGAAATCTTACTTTCAAGGAAGCAAGTATTTAATTGTATTTAAGAAGCTTTATTATATATGTTATTGATAAGTTTTATTATTTATAATTACATATATATGATAATAATATTTAGAGAAAAGTATATTTAATTTTTTTATATGATTGATTATATACAATTTAAATTTTAACTTTTAAAAGTGTGCAATACAACACTCTATTTTTTAAAGTTTAATTTTAGACAAAAATATTATCATAATTTTAAAATTTTCTTTCTGTTGGATATCGACATTTTTTAAGAAGATTTTTTTTTAATAAAAAACTAAAGAAGTATATTAAGTATTATTGTTTAAGTTAATTACATATTTACAATTAGTGAATATAAATTTGATACTATTGTGTAAATTAAAACAAACTATAATAATATATTTAAATAAACAATTAACCAAAAATGTTAAAAAATTAAATCGTTAATATATTTATCAAATTTGCTTGTTAAAATTTTATTCTAATAAAAAGTAAATATTTAGTATTATCATATATTACTTGAAGAATCTAATATTAAATAAGAAAATACTAAAAAAAAACATAAGGAACCAACCATGTTTAAGTTTTGTCCAAAAAAAACCTTAAAAGGATAAGGACGATACAAGGGCTGCGAGGCATTCCAGGCGTTTAATTTAATCATCTAGAAAGTCAGAAGTCAGCGCTACCTCATCGCATTCGTCAGGAGTCGTTTGGTCATACGCAGAAAAAAAAACTTATTCCTCAAGCCAAGCCACCAAAGTTGTACTTCTTATTTTTGGACTTAGAAATTTGAAAAACCTTCTTATACTAATAGAACCCTCTAGACCCCTACCCTCTTAAAACCCCACACTGCCCCACAAGCAAACACAACTTAACTCCTCTCTACAACAATATACACCCATATTTCCTCCCTTTCAAAACACACACACCAAATTAAAACATAACACAAACACCCCCTTAACCCTGGGCTTAATAATTATGGGCACTCTTGTGGGACACGTCGCTCCAGGCTTTGGGTTCTTGTTGATTGGTCTATGGCACCTCTTCAACCACATCAAGCTCCATGCTCTCAACCCCAATTCCTACACTGCCCCACCATGGTTCCCAACTTCCAAGTTCAAGTACCTAGAACTCTTCCTCATCATGGTTGCTTCAACAGCCTCAATCTCCATGGAACTCTTCATAGGACCCGACCGCCACCAACCCTTCGACCCAGATGGAACCATTCCCTCCAACCATCTCCACAACTTTGAACACTCTTCCATCTCCATGACCTTCTTCCTCTATGCAGCTTTTGCCATCATACTCGACCAAACACGCCCTAAAGCTTACTATGGTTTAACCCAGTTGCTAGGAGCCATAGCCTTTGCTCAACAGCTTCTCCTCTTCCACCTTCACTCCGCAGACCACATGGGGCCCGAAGGACAATACCACATGCTGTTACAACTCGTGATTCTCGTCTCCCTTTCCACCACCCTCATGGGAATTGCCATGCCCAAAAGCTTCTTGGTAAGCTTCGTGCGTTCCCTTAGCATATTCTTTCAGGGCTTGTGGCTTATGACTATGGGGTTCATGCTTTGGACACCGGGTTTGATTCCCAAAGGGTGCTTCATCAACCTTGAGGAGGGTCACCAAGTTGTGAGATGCTCTGATCATGATTCACTTCACCGTGCTAAGTCCTTGGTCAACATTCTATTCAGCTGGTTCATCATTGGACTCACCGTTTTCGCTTTCTCTTTCTACTTGACTTTGGTCAAGTTCTACGGTGAAAAGGTGAAGTATTTTACTTTGGGGAACGAGGAAGAGGAGGAGGAAGAAGAAGGAGACAAGTTAAGTGACGATGTTGAGTCCCAAAAGAGAAGCATACTTGGCAACCCCAAGAGCTTTATTCACGTTGGGAAAACCTTTTCACCTGTTGACATAGAAAGGTAGAGTGTGTGATTAGGGAGGGATGAAAGAATTTAAGGTTTATAATTTGTTATTAATTACTGGTTTGGTTAGGTGTGTGGGTGTACAGTAGAATCTGGGTGGGATTCATGTATATTAATTAATTAATTAAGCCAGCAATAATGTGGTTGGCTTATGGAAACTTGTTCATGTGGGTTATACTATTTTTTAGAGGATAATGATTTAATTTGTTTTAATTGCGTGTACTTGGGTGAGATGATGCCATGAAGGATTGTTACTACTGTTTAGTTTTTCTTTGTTTAGTGGAAATATGCAAGAAATTTCCTTAATGAATTTAATTTTGGCTATCACTTTGGTACAAATTCCTGTTGTCTTATGCAATCCTTGTATTAGGGAGGAAACCAGGAGCCGTTGGTTGTTTTAGAGTATAGTTTGTCGCTTATTTGATTTTGCTTTGAATTATTATATGGTGACATATATCTCTAATAAGAGGTCTTTGTGACTGTGGGCGTACGCTGTTTAGTTACTTGAAGAAAGTTAAGTAAAACATTGACTTAGTTATTTGCAAATGACAATAATTAATTAAAAATATAAACAACAAATGCTTATAAAAATTTGAGTAAGCTAACCAAGCTTAATGTAGTAGTGACGTGCCGTATGGATTACATGATAATTATACATAGAGAGAACTCAAATTATTAAATAACTTTTTCTTGAAGAATTTTATTTTAAAATTAATCATTAAATTTAAAAATTAAGTCATATAGATTATATATACGTAAAAGTTTGGATTAATTTAAAATTATTTAATATTTTATTTATATCAATATTAATATAATGCATATTTTTGAAATATATGAAAATAATTAAGTAGTATTTAATTATGTTCTTATAATTGTTTAATTTTGAGCATATGAAAATTTGAATTTTAATAAATATAATTGTGTTAAATATATATAAGGATAATTTTGTCGTCCATGATAAATATTTATATAGGTTTAACAAAATTTAACACACATAATTAAGGTAATAATTTATTATAATTTAATCGTTAGATGAAAAAAAAAATCACGTTTAACATAAGGTCATTTATGACATAATTTTTTGTGTTTTGGTAAGTTATAGCAGTATAATTTAATATACAGTTGATAATTTATATATAGATTTAGTTTTCGATAGGAACTATAGATTCCTTTTGCCATGAAGCAAACGTTGCTTTCTTTCGAAAGCGGGGTTACCAAGAGCTTGCGCAGGATATTCGTTGTAGCAGTGCAATAAGGGGGCAAGAAATATAAAGTCAAAATAAAAGCAACGCTATGGTGAGTCGCCAATGCATGTGGAGTTGCAGAAACAAAGACAGAGGAATTATATCGTGTCAATAAAGCTTACAGATACAAACACAAGTAGAGAACATCATTCTCAAGACGTTAATGCTAATTAATGCCCTTTAAATTGGTTCAAAAATTAAAAATATTATTGATGATGCACAGTCTTTCATAATTTATTTTATTAAGATACTAGTTAACAATCCTTATCTAAAATGTGTGAATAGATATTCTATTAAATAGATCAATCGTGTGTTAAAAAATATATTAAAATAACATGTTACTAATTAATATTTTTTTGTATATATAGACACACAGAGTGTATCCTCTAAAAATAACTAAATAATATGAAAATTGAGAAATCTAACTATAGCCATTAAATTTATTTTTATGACTAATATTAGTTTTAATAAAATTAAAAACAGTCACGTGACCATTGCACAGCGTCTTTCCTCGCTCGCATAACATTACGTCTTCTCCTGCGCATTCCTTGCAACCTTTTTGTTGTTGTTGCTGTTTCTTGCTTTAATTTACTATAAATCTTGCGAGAATAGAAGGCATTGAAAAACAAAAGAGGAAGATTCCAAAATTAATTTATGAGCATAAACAAGAAATGCACGGGCAGATTAAAAACCGCAAAGTGATTTCAAAAGGGGTTTCATGGGCATACACAAGAATAATTGCATAACCAATTCTTAAAGCAAAATGATGGCGTAAAGGCAAAAAAGAGAATGGGTTAAGGTAGAAATTAAGGAGGGTAGCAATAGCATATGAGATGCGTCATGACTTGCTGCCATAGTCCCACAAAAGTCTTTTCATTTAATATGTCATTTATATATAATATAATATAAAAAATAGTAATTCCCCAATATTATTATATGCATAAAGTTTCACTTGAATATGTTAAGTAAGAAGTATGAATATAAAGCTTTAAATTTGTATTGATACAACAGGAAAGTTGCCTTTCTTTTGGGTCTTATTTTTCGTTTCTTGGCGCAGAAGAAAGAAAAAGAGACAACATAGGGAAGAAGGAAGTGCGTATAACAAGGTTAGCCAACAAACTCGTGAAGGGAAGTATGGGAAGTAACCAAAGAAGAGAGACGTAGAAGAATAAATGAGAAGCATGTTTTGGCATTAATTCAGAAAAAGCATTCACCTTAGGGTTCACATGAAGAAGGGTGACATGCATGGAACAATGATGTTTTTGTACACATGCCAATAAATTCAGCCAACAAGACAAGCTCTCACGAATAAAGCACACCGCATCCAACTTCCCAATCTTAGTAATTAAGCACTCATCTTAGGCTTCCCGTGAAGCAAGGTAACATCCAAAAAAACTTGCATAAATAGAGGGACTAAAGCAGAAATAAAAAATCAAAAAAATAAACGACGGTTAGCAATATTCATAAACTCTGCCTATGATCTCAACAGCTGCAAATTTAGATCAAATACGTAGGACCTATGCATTACATAGAAATTTGAAGATACCCTTCACCATTCATACCATTTCTATTAGTTCGATCCCCATATCTATTAGTTTTAAAATATATTATCTGTTACAATAAAGTAATACTATAAAATGCTTAATTTTTTGTGAAATTTTATAAATTTGATTTACTTAATAAAAAATTTTAAATAAATGATTAGATTGATTAATCTTACATTTTATAAAATATTATTAAATAATATAAATGTGCAAATTTAACACATGACGTCAATTATTTTTAAAAGTATAATTATTAAGGAGTATTTCTTAACAATTTATAAAATCTAAATGCATGATGATTGTCATAAAAATAAAAATTCATACCTAAAGATTAGCATTTTCAAAATTAAAATTAACAGTAATATTTTTTTTTTTGGATAAAATCTTAATTACATTATAACACCACTATAGTTATTACATTATCTCATGCTCTTTACCTTTTTCTCTACTTCTTTTAATAGCCCAGCTATGCCTTAAAAATATTGTTGAAGTTGATTTGAAATAAATCATCTTATTTAAAGTACACATTATCCAGATTTATAAAAAAAAAAGAAGAGAGAGAGCGAAAGAAGTCACAAATATATATTAACTCAAAGTTCTTTAATTCAAGTTACATTAATAAAAAAAAAACGTTAAATTATAACATTTTTCTTACCCTTTTATTTTAGAGTGTTGTGATATGTGTATCCTTAAATTGTGGAAAGTGTATAGAGAAAAAAAGAGAAGAAAGCTAAAAACTATATGTTAACTATATGACTTTTTTCTTATACTTTTGTCTTAGAATGTTGTGACATTTGTAGGAGTGTATAAGGGAGTGAAGGGAGGTTATAACACTAAAAATATCTTCACCAATGAAATGCAAACAAATAATTTGAGCAATGCACCTAACCTAAAAATCTTAACTATAAATTTTTTCACTTATATATTGTTTAACTTATTTATTTTTATTCAATACGAGACTTCATGACTTTACACTTAATTTTAACAAACATTCCCTCAAACATAAGTTTCTTTCATTAATTATATATACTCTCCCTTGAATGTTTGTTGAGTTAAAGTGAGTTATTTGTCAAAATCCTACGTCAACAAACTTAAAAGAGGAAGAGAGAAAAAAATTATAAATAGAAAAGTTATATTTTGTATTTATTTATCACAATAACACATAGTTCTTTGAGTGTACTAAGGACTTGAACAATTGTGTGTTAAGCAAGAGTTTGCAATTTTTCTATCCAAAAATTACATATAAAAAGGTTTGTAATTTTATCACGTCAAAAATTAGAAAATAATAAAATTATGTTAGAAATTTGTGAATGTAAGCAAGAGATGTTGATCACATTAAAGTTATGTTCTCATTTTATCTCTTCTATTTTATGTGGGTGTGCTTCTAACATAAAAAATGCAAATAACTTATCTATTTCCTTTGTACCCAATAGTGGTAATCAAGACAAAAGAAACATAGGTTCGTTTAGACAACTAACTCAAGATCGGTTCTAAATTTTTTTTACTAGATAAAAGTACAAATTATTTCACTTATAACTATTAGATGGTCAAAATTGTAAACTATTTCTTGACACCACTATATATGTCCCTAATACACTCGAAGGATTACATGTTATGATAAGTAAATATAAAATAAAACTTTCTATATATAATATTTTTCTATCTTTTCTTCTTTCAAGTTTGTCAATGTAGGACTTGGATGAATATATGACTCATTTTAATCCAATAAATCTTTCCTTTTGTTCGAAGTCTCATATATCTATTTACTTTACAAGCAACTCTCCTTTTAGTCTTTCAAGAACATCACAATCAACCCAAAAATATTATGATTATTGAGTTGTGAGTCAATTATTACTTATATGCTACCCAACTTTTTTATTCTTATTTAACGTGGGACTTCCTCGGTCATACTTGATCTCAACATAGATAAGGTTGGAATACCTTTTTAGGTTTGTTCTTGTGTTGTGATTGTGCTATCTTATTCCAAAAGTTCTCAAAGAAAATTTACCTTTTATTTTTCAAAAAGAGCTACCGCAACCATAGTACTTGTATAATTGTATTCTATGATTCCACATGATCCTTTAGACTCACTTCAAATTGCAATCAAGCATTCCTTAAAATGGATGATGAAGTTGTTTTGAATGAAGATGTTGAAGTGGAATCTGAGTTCGAAAGCCTGAGAAGAGGATGAAATTTAGGAAAACCAATGCAAACTTGCACTCTTAAGTGATTTTGGTGTAGCTTCGTCTTGCACAAAATTGCAAATGGAAACCCATCTCCATCTTAGTGTGTTTAGTTGTCCACTAAGATTACATATATATACTTTTCAAAAGTAAAAGCTATTGTTAGTAGCTTCAAAATTATGCACGTCCGAGCTGAATAGACATAGAACCAAATATAATGTCAAATTTTGGATTTCTGCTCGAATTTAACACCAGATCACCAATATAGTCATAATTTAATCCTTCTCTCCCCAAATCACCACTTTAATATTTATTTTTTTATAATCTCTTTTATCTTAATAAACATTTCGTTTTACTCTCTTAACTTATTCAAATATATTTTAAATTTGTTTTTACAATTAGCTAGGTAAAAATTAAGAAAACTATTTATATGACATGCTAAATTTTAATTTAAGTGATATGTCACATAAAAAATCGTGACTTTTAAGAAGGTAATTATTAAAATGTATATTTAAATTTTTCCTTTTTCGCAACACTTTAAAGTTATATTTTCTCTCTCATTTGTCTTAAATCTTCATTGATGATCATCATCTAAATCCAATTAGCATATAGAAAGAAAGGAAAATTATAATAATGTTCAATCTTTTATTGTTTGGTTGAACAGAAAGTAAAAAAGAAAGAAAAATGATTTATACAAAAAATATTAAAACTTTTTTACTTCCATTTTTTCTTCATTTTTTTTTTTTACTTTTCTTCACTTTCCTTTCATACCAAATGGATCACCAGTGATATTTTTTTATTCAGGAATTTGGCTCTTTTAAAGTGAAAAATGTATTAAGTGATAAAGTGAGTCTTTATTTATCTTTGATTTAAAAGTTAAGTATATGTAATAAATACTTAAATTCACATCAATGATAAAAATATACATTTACATTTTTTATTTTACATATTTTTTCACCTTAAAGAAACTAAATCCATTTTTCAGATTAGATAAGAGCAGAAGCTAGAGAAATTTATTTATGGTGATTCTTGACTATGAAATTCAAAGTGATAGTGTTAAGTGTGATGAAGCGCGGTTCAACATTGGTTTGTTGCATGCTTCAAATAAATTGAGCGAGGGGTTTTGGGAATTTCATGGGTGAATGAGTAGCTTTGATTTAGTTTGCGCTGTGGGTGTGTAAATGCCAAAGAAAAGGCACATAAGATCAGGTCAAGTAGGTACTAACAAGTGGTGTCTGTGATGGGGTTTTGTAACGGTGTCAATTTGGTCAAGGTTGATTGAAAGGTGTCACTATAAGTGGCGTGGTGAAGGTTCTTAGACGGGTCTTCTAAGTTCGTGATTGTGATTATTTGGCTTCTTACTCCGTCACTCATTTTTCGAACTATCAACTAAAGTGAAATCATTTTACTCTAGACAAAGACCATTCGCCTGCGAAAGAGTGCCAAATCAACCATTTAAACCCTATCCAATTTTGTTAAAGTTCAATAGAAGAAACTAGACCAAAGGACTAACACACACTACGCTAATGAAAGACCAAGAAAAAATATTACATTTAAAGGAAAAAAAAACCTACAACATTTTCTGGAGGTTTCACGAGTCTTGTTTTTCCGATGTTCTTTGCTATTGACACAAACATCGGTAGTTCAAACGTTGGTCAGGAATTACCGAATTACCCAGCTCGAAGGAAGTTTGATATATTGCTATTTAACGTTTCAGCGAGGTCCACGAACTGCCAGCAAGTAAATCAAACATAACATGGTGAACTTTAATTGAGCATATGTTTGATTTCACATTAACTTAATCACGTGTATTTCGTTATAACATTATTTTTTATGAAAAAATAATGTTATAACGAAATACACGTGATTAAGTTAATGTGAAATCAATCATGTTTAAGAAGTTTAGTTATTCTTAAACATGATTGATTTTACAATCAAACTCGCACTTGAGCCAACAATAAATTGTAACTTTTGCATTAAGTTAAAATATTCATAGTGAATTTAACTACAAACTTACTTTTAAGATAAATATTTCCAAACACAAATCACACCACATTAAACTCACTTTTAAGTAAAATCAATTCTACGAAATCAAGTTTATTGAAACTTAAGTTTACAAATATTCACTCAAATACAGAAAATCTACAATGAAGCAAATGTTCCTATATTAAAGGGAAACGAAAGGTACAAAATGAACTCGAACAAAAACTACAAGTTAATCGAAACAAAAAGAAATGGGAAAGAAAACTATAACTGAACTTTTATACACGGATATAATTCAGGTTTGTGGATAATTGGAGGCAAATTCATCTCAATGTAAGTGAAATCAATTAAAGATAACCATGCAGTTGCTATCAAGTCATAAAAATGTCATTCCTAAATTAATGCGACAGTCAACAAATTTTTAAATTGTAATACTATACATTTAAATAATAGGATAAAAATCTTGTAGAGCAACATATCAAAATAAAATGATTAATCACATTGGTAAATTAAGTTATCAAACAGCAAAACCATGGTCAGCAAACTATTAATTTATTTAGCCATCTAGTATTATTATTTACTACAGTATATATAAATTATAAAACACTCTACATTGTTTATTTAAAAAAAAAAAAACATAACATTTACATGAAGAGCTAAATCTATACATATATCATCTACTGCAATTGCAACATACGGCATTCCATATGTAGGCAGGGAAGATTATTACTTACAACACCATAGTGTCCATAAACGGATAAACCCAATGAGAATGCTATGAAGTGGAGAAGAGAGAACTAAAATTCACGATCAGGAAACAGCACAGGAGCCACAAGAGTCCAGATATACAATCCAGCAGTGACCCACTCAGTGCCAATTCGAACCCATACAGATGTCCAACCAACATCTATGAGATCTGAGCTCTCAGATGTGCTGGTCCATCCAGAAAGAAGCATAGCTGAATACATGCTAGCCAAGGCAAATATTAGGTGGAAGAAAGAATATGAATAACTAACTGGTTGTGCTTCCTTTTCCTCCTTCTTTGTGTTTCCTTCTTCCACTTCTTCAAGAAGAGGTTTACTCGCACCTGAAAAAACAAAATGCCAAATGAGACATAATAGCTTCAAAAACTGAACCGGACTTCAAGAAAACTTGTATTGATTAAAATTTTTTTGCTAGGATATATGGGCGGGAATGAAATATTTAGAATATGCAGAAAGAAACTTGGAGTTTGGGCTATCGGAGAATCCATTACTTGTGAAACAATGCTAACAGGGTTGTATGAGAGAAGCTTACTTTCAAAGAGGCTATTCTCTTCATCCAGAGACACGTTTTCAGAAGTTGTTGAGATCAAATTTGTTTTACTGAATATAGGACTATATGCATTCATTTCATTTTTTAAAGAGAGGGATAGTAATCGAGCATCCAATAATGTTTTCAGAACCGGATCAGTCGGTGGACCAGTAAAAGGAGTACTTTGAGGATTTTGTGGGGGTGGGGCCTATATGCGGTTTCTTATGTATACATAAACACAATTTGAATATATAACAATATGAAAAAGAATATAATATACCTATGTTAACTATATAAATAAAACTAGGCAAATTGTAGTCAGCTTCAGCTTCATCAGGGGTACAGATTAAGCAAACATAAATACTAAAGAGAATCTGGATTTTGCAGATTGATTGGTTAACAGTTTTTCAGTCGAGCTACGAAAACTAGGGTATCCAATAAGGAGTAATTTTTGCATGTATAGTAGGGCTTTTTTCAGTGGTAATAATCAATTTTCTCAAAAGCTCTCTTTCAAAATTGGGAAAAAAAATATTTTCTCAAAATAAGATAAGAAACAAGCAATCCAAAATGCCATCACAGACACATCAAAAGATAAGAGATCATTAAGGATTCCAAACATTTTTTATTACCTGATTTCGGTGAAGATGGTGGTGACAAGAATGTTGTTGAAGATCCAGCACGAAGAGCAGAATACAATACTGAAAGCACTGTTGTTAGCATGCCAAGAATGAGTGTACTTGCACTGACAGCTGTGGACCTGTTGAGACCATTGCACTCATAGCCACGAGGTTCACTAGAAAGACCCGTGTAGCACACATAAGCAGAGTAAAGGGAAATCACAGATGCAGGCAACAAGCTTCCATTCACCTGTTTTTGCATTCCCATTATTATTCACTTTTTCAAAATAAAATAAAATGAATACACAAGGCGACATGAATGAAACCAAGTATCAACTTTCCTTCCAAACCTATCAAATATAATGGCACCAAATAACATCAACCAAAAAAAGAAAGGGCATTATCCAATGCCAATTTTCAGACCTTATAATTTCCTTTTGGTCTACAATATGGTGTAACAAGTTATGACTAACAAATAGGTCTTAGGAGGCACAAACTCCAAAAATAAATACATAGAACTTGTTGGCACAGATCTGCAAATTGAAAAGAAACATCATTCTTGCAAGACTTGTTAACACAAACCCCTCAAAATCCAAGAGTTCACCATTCAGTCATAACAGTCATCACTCTCAATATTACAAAGTTCATAAATCCATCGTTAAGAAACTTGGGCCTAACTCACTCCTAAAGCTAGCTCATAGGAGGAGAATTATCTTAACTCTTATAAGGAGTATACTGACTCTATTCTTAACTAATGTGGAACATCTTGACACACACCCTTTACACTCAGGACTGGACATCTGATACATGAAATTTGCAATACTGAACATTTGCCCAAGTAAAACCCAACAGGACTGGACATCTGTTAATAGGCCAACATTCAAATTGGATAGGTTCTGATACCATGTTAAGAAACTTATATCTAATTCACTCCTAAAAGTTAGCTCATAGAAAGAGGACTATCCTAAAACTTATAAGGAGTATATTAACTCTATTTCTAACTAACGTGAGACATCTTAAACCCATATTAGCAAATGATTAAACATTTAATAAATTTAATTTACTTGGCAGTGTCACAAGATAGATAAATAGATAGATAGATAGAAAGAAAAGAGATCAAAATGGAGAGAGAAAGTTGTTCAAGCTTACAAGAAATCAAGAATTAGGAGAATCAAATGATTAACCATCATTAGATGGGCAATTTAGTGTTCTAGTATCTGATATCCAGATAACTCTTTGGATTAACCTAGAGTGACCTCCTTCCAATAATACCATTACATAATGAAGTAATTATTGCATTTGAAAGATACAAGTCATATAAGGATTAAGGAGTATGTCAAAAGACAGATTAACAAATATCAAATTATCGAAGTGAGGAGATCAAAACTAGGGACATAATTGGGGTGTGGAGCCCAAAAATAGACCAGGGCCAAAGCTTCAACTAAAGCTGATATTTAAATTTAAATGGCCCAGAGATTCTGGAAAATAAAATTAATAATGTATCCAAATGTAAAACGCACTAATGGCTTGGTGGCATGCATCAAGATAGTATGCACCATTCCAGAAAATCATTTAAATATAGCTTGGGTCCAGAAAAGAGAAAGACATGTGGCATTCATTAAAAGAATTTTCTTTCAGATGATGTTTCCTTCATGACATTTCCTCTTTGGCAGTGAACTACATTTTCCTACTTTTTACCAATGCATCATTGTTATATGTAGTCTTAAATTTGGATTTTGTCCTGATTAGTCGTTAAGTTAGCTCAAAAGGTAAGGATTGCTTCCTCTAAAAGCTCTCACTCATATTTTTAGTTGGATTTGAGATTTCCACACACCTTCACCCAGATTAGACATCTATAATGAGAAAATTGTACTAGTTTTTTCTTTTAATATTGCATTGAACAAGTTGCGGGTTCAAGTAGGTTGCACTAGGAAAGTCATGGGGTCAAGTAAGTTACGCTGAGAAATCCATGGGACCAGATCAAGTTAATTGCACTAAAAAAATCCAGAGTAGCTTTTTTTTTTTTCTTGTTTTTAGTTAAAGTCACACTCAATATAAAATCTAACATAAGCTTTGATACCATTAAATTTGAGCTTTGGCTTAATTTAACTTTAAAAGCTAGCTCATAAGGTAAAGATTACTTTAGCCTTTATAAATTCTTATTTGGCAGTATTTGTAGTCGATATAAGATTTCAACATGAAGATTGTTTAATATTTGTCATTTAACAACGCATTCAGAAAATTAATCATGTTCCGTTGCTAAGAAGAATCATGTGTCTCACTAACAAACTTAACCTCGAGAAAGATTACCAGTATATTGGCAGAAAGCTAGAAATATCTTTTGCATTGTTAGAGAAGCCATGAAAAGTCATACAGGATTTCAGGACTTTGTTAAGCATACAAAAACAATACATTATTGGAAATTGAAGAACCTTTGTATGTTCTCTCATCACCAAGTAATTCATATCGCACAAGAGAATTGAATAAGTTTCAATTGCTTAAAAGCATGTCTATTCTTTACCTTAGGATGTAAAGCAATAACCGCAAACAAGAAAGCAAGAATCATGGTCATGACAAGGAAGAAGACGTTGAGGCTACAATCATATCCAGAAGGGTTGAACCAAATGAAAAGAATTCCTGACACTGTAAATGCTGCGATGTAGCATCCAATCGATACAGCAAGTAAAGCAATGTACCTAAACAAGCAAATTTCTTAGGATCACAATGGCAAATAGAAAACTATAACGAGGAAAAATCAGCATACCATTTCTGTTCATCTTTCTCAACCCATGCATCATTCCAAGTGTGAGTAAAGTCAAGTAAAATTATCACTTGAATCAATAAAAACAAGCCAGCCCCAAATTTTGATATGAATCCTGTAAATATGAAAGTTGTGCACGTCAATTTTAGAATTAGGGTTTAAAATCAATTGGGGGAAATTTTTTCATGTAAAAAAAAAAAATCAGAAATCAGACCTCACATACAACTCTATATAGGTAGAGTAAGCAATTAGACAGCAATAGACACCAGACTAATAAGAAGATGAAGCACTATAACAAAACATATTCCTTCTGATATATTAACCAGTTATATAGTACTTCCATTTGTCAAACCAGAAAAAGGGCAGCATTAATTTATTGCTATGATATCTCACATTGGCTAGGAATATGGCCAACATTCTCTTTATTGACTTAGACAATCCATCCCCCTTGACCAACCTATTGGGGTTGAGTAATAACTTAGGTCAAATCCATTTCTAATAGTTAAATCAATTCTCCTTGGACTAGACCAAATTCTAGGCTAGGCCATCATGATCCCCCCCCCCCTCCCTTTTTTCAAGTCCTAAGTCTATGATGTATAAGGGTCAATAGAGCAAAGTTCTTAGCCAAAATAAAATGAATTTATTTTCCAAGTTAAATTAGTGTAAAAATGTTCTGTACTTGCATCCAATGATATGTTGCCAAGTAATGTAATGATTACCATATATCATGTGATTGTTAACATGGTTAAACTCATTAAATGTGGTGTCTTAACTCAAGATTAAATGGTAATGTAAAAAGTTTTACATTGACGAAGCATCAAAATGAAACTCAAACAAAATTTGTGATAGGAGTGTTGGGGAAGGAGAGGTATAGACATCTGAAAATCAGTTTGAGAGTCATTAAATATAGCCAGAAAGCCTCTTCAAAAGATGCTTTTTAATGCAAAATCTGCGCTGAATAATTCAAGAATCATACTATATTCATTCATCAAGGCCACGGAATTAAGCAAAAACAGCAAAGGGTACAGAAAATACCATATACTAATATTACGACATCAGGAAGGAAGAATGCAAGGACCACAAGCAAAAGCCAGATCACCATTTTTGCAGTCCAACCACCATGGTGCCATGAATCACGCCTATCATTCTGGTCCTTCACACCAATCATAATAAGCGCTAGGATGCCAAAGAATAAGAAATTTCCCAAGCTCACACGAAGAACCGCTTGTATTTGATAGAACTCCTTTGTTTGGGCATCCGTTTCGGATGTATTTATCCCTGCAAGTAAGTATTAATATACTAAACACATAAAAAGGAAAAAACATTCAAGTACTAATTCTGCTCCTCCACCATATGCCGTTTTATTTTATTTTTGTTTTTGGAGGGGCTAAATTCTTCCTGGAATTATCAAAACCAAACATACGCTTAGGATCCGTTAGGGTAACAGTTTAATTATGTGCTTATTTAATGAGCTCTTATTGCATAAGTGATTTGTATCATGAATTTGACCATAGAACTTATTGACATAAGCTAAAATGAGCTTATTCTAATAAACTACATAAAGAAACTTATTGAAAAAAAGTTTTTAAGAGTTATAAAGCGATCTATGAACTCTTCCAAACACTCCATTAACAAAATTTTTCAGTGTTTCCACAGGACCAAAGTTTCAAGTTTTCCCTAATAGCCTGAATCATAAATCTAGGCACGTGGTAAACGAGGCTGCCCCGGAAGGCAAATTCAAATTCACAGCTCAAAAAGTACTGGGCAGGAATATGAAGCAAGGTTAATCACACTTCACAGATGATGAACATAAATACCCAAATGGAGAATTGTGAGGAAAATTGAAAACTTTAGAGAAAGAATGGAAAATACAGGGGAGTTTCTCCAAAAGGGGTGCTCCAACTTCTCTTAGGATCCACGAAACAATGAGAGAGACGCCGAAGAGAGCACAGTAACCGATTCTGGCAGATTTTTGGGAGATGCATGATGCCGTAGAGGTGCAGAGACCGCCTGTCATAGACGCGCAGCAAGATAAACAACACGACATGATGACGATGATGTTTGATAGGAGATACTAGAGATATCACCTTCTCTCTCCTTTCACGGTTGAATTTCTCTGTGATCGAGTTCGATTCAAGAATCACTGCCTCTATACACAGCTCCGTGCTTCGCATGTGTCGTTTCAAAACTTCCCTTCGTCGTTTAAGGAAACACTCGTTGCATTCTTATCCACTCCCAGGTTTCAAAGATTTCATTTTTTTTTTAACTATATCTCAGATATTTTCCATTAGAAACAATTTTAGTAAATCAATCATGGATGTAAACTTTTTTTTTATTTTATACATTTCTTACTTTAAACAAGACATATTTAAAAAATTTACGACCAAATACTCAAGTTACATGACAGATACATAAATGATTTGTTAGCAATTTGTTTGTGATAAAATAGAGTCTTCATTGTCAAATTTAAGGACACCTATCGTTGGATTATTTCATACTTAATGTTTTCTATTTTTTTTTTTTAAATTATTAACTATATGTAATTTATTTGATGTTTTATTTTCAATTCAAGCCATTATTTAGTCTAAAATAAGTTTGACTTGATTTTTTAATGTAAAAGTTACTTTATAATTGAAATTCAAAATAAAGTTTTAAAATTAAAACTATCTAATAATTTTATATTTTTTAGCTAAAAATGAATTTTTGTTTAAAATTCATTATACAGCGTATTTTGATATTTGGATTTAAATAAAAAATAAAAAATAAAAACAAATAATTCTTTTAAATAAATTTATTAATGAGCTTTTTGTAATGTTATTAAAATTTTTAATAAATTTTATTTCCTTAAATTGTATTTGACTCATGTAAATTATAGCAAACAGTATTAAAAAAATAACGTTTAATAAAGTTTTTGCGGAGTAATCGTTTTTGCTTTTTATGTTTATGTTTATAAATAAATGCTTGTAAACTTATTTTAAATTTTTTAAATTAATTTTAATTATTATTATGTTTACAATGAAGTAATTTAAAATTAAAATGTTTAAATATATTTTTGTTCTTGTAAATATTGTGAGTTTTGCTTTGAGTTTGTATATTGATTTTATGTTAGCAATTAAAATTAAATTGTCTTGTTAAAATTTAGATGCTTTGAAAGAAAATATAAACACTCTAAGAATAAAATTTAATTTCACAAAATATTTGTATTGAAATAATAAATAATACATTCAATACTTGACTTTGTTAACCAATTTTCGAAGCATAGAATTTTGTTTTCTAACTTACTAAAACAAAGTTGGCTGATCTCTCAAGTAACAACTTGACAGCTAATATTTTGTTTCAAGATTTATGTATGTTCAGTTTGTTGATAACCAATGCTTGACTAATTATGATGGACTTGGTAGAAATCATCCACGGGAGATAAAATACAACTTACAATCTTATAACTAAAAGAAACGTAAACAACTTTGTAGCAACTAATTAAGTTACAACTTTTGACTATTAAACAATTCTAGCAAGTTTTTAGGTTGTCAAGTTTATCTTCTAATATTTTATTTTATTTTAATTTAATATTTTTATTTTTATTTTGTGTAACTTTTCATTAGATAGCTAATAATTTAGCTAATAGATGCTTAAGTAGGCTTTATCAGATACATCAACTCATTACATATATTAAAAATTAAATTAAGAAGAAATGAAAATAATATTTGTTATATTTCAATTTGAGTTGATAAGGTAAAAAATTTTAAAACATGATAAAAAATTTAGACCTAAATGACTCTAAATTTTTTAACATAGACTCAGAACTTATTTAGTTTGCATGTTAGATTGTTCATAAATGTTTGGTACTGTTAAATTGCTTATAGATGTTTAATCTTATAAAATTCACAAACTAGGTGTCTAGTCCAATTGAACCACCACATTATCTAATCTTAAGGGTGAGAGGGTGTATTAAGACATCTTACATTAGTTAAATAAAAGCATATACTCTTTATCAAAGTTAGAATAGTCTTCCTCTCATAAATTAACTTTTAGAGGTGAGTTAGGTCTAAAATTTTAAACATGATATTGAAGTTATCTAATCTTGTTAGATCATTTGCACATGCATGTTAAGTTTTACAAATTTCATACATTAAATGTTTAATCCTAAGTGTAAGAGATGCGTAATAAGATGTCTAACATTGATTAGGAATAGAGGTAAAATACACATACATTAAGTTGACAAGTATTAGAATTTAATTAATAAGCATCTTTCATTATTATTATTATTATTTACATTCTAATAAGTTTATTTTATTTATTTTTATTTTTATTTTATAAAATTAATGAATAATTAATATTTTTATTAATATTTATTTAGTAGAGGACAATAAATAAGTAAGATGGTGTAATAGACAAATGGTATGATAAAAATTTAAGTAATAAATTTTACAAAATTTAGAATATCATCATTTTCTTAATTTTTATGCAACTATGAGTAAATGATAATGACCAAAAAAATTGAAAATATCAAGATGAAAATAATATTTTTTTACAAGGTTTAAAACAAAAATTGTTACATTTACGTGAATTATAACAATTTAAATCTATTAATTATGCATTATTTAAAAAATAAAATATAATTCAATGAAAATTTAAAAAAAAGCCTTAAAACTATCAAGTAAGTGAATCAGCTCAGCAAAAAATTATTTTAAATCAAGTATTAGTAAATGCAATTATATTAAATGCATGAAAGAAAATTTTGTAGCCTATAATATTCTTACCTAATTCAAACAAAATTACTTGTAGTGTATGATATTTATAGTGTAGACCAAGCAAAGACACTACACTTTCATAACAGTGTGTAACATTTGACAAAATGTCAAACAAATTTGATAATTGAGCTTCTAATCTCATAATACAATGAACCTAACAAAACTCTTAATTTGCAATGATGAGTCACTAACTCATCTAGGAAATTAAAATTTTTTGACATATTTTATTGGATTTAAATCATAAAATAATGCAATTAATTGAAAAATTCAATGAAAGGTTGCAAGTACTGAAAAATTTATATAGATCATTCATATTTTGATGTTGTTAATTAAATTTTTGAAAGAAATTAGACAAAAAGTGGCAATTGGACTAAAGAGCGAAAGCTAAGTGCTGCAGGACACACTTTGTGGGGACATGAACTTTCATTTGTGGGGATACGATGCTGACAGAACCTATAAAAGAAGAAAATTATGAAAAGACGACATCTTTTATCTTTTTATTTTTTACGATTCTAGAGCACAGAAACCTAGGTTTTGATACAGTGTACGTAGAATATGGTAGCTAGGATATTTTTTTTACATCTTTACTAGAAGATCTTCATGGGAACTTGGATTTGATCTTATTTTCTCTGGTTTATGTAATAGAATAATAACTTCTTATTTCTTCATTTTGCTATAAACGTTTTTGTGAACATGAACTCTATTTCTGCAATATAATTCAGTTTTATATTACTTACTTTCCTCATATCTAGCTAAATATTTTGGAGTTGAGTGACGATGAACTTATACCTTTATCCTTTGCAATGAATTAACATTGGACATAGCTCAAGATACAAACTTTATTCTAATATTTTGATTCTGAACTTAATGTCTCACTGTTCTACGTGAATGAGGTTGATGAAAAGGAGTTCATTGCTGAAAAGTTGTGAGCTTTCTTGGACTGGATCCAAAATGCATATTATAAATTGTCTAGGAATAGAAGTTTATAATGATGTGGTTTGTTGGATTTTAAATCTTAACGCTGAATGTCTTTAGTTGTATCTAAGGAATTAAGACACTAATTTTATTTTAGAACTAATTACCAAGGAATTGGGATTGAGAATTTTAGAAAATTTGACCATTAAATAAAGTTGTATTTTGAGTTATGCATATATTTGTAAGCAAAGGGAAAGAGATAAGGAATTTCGAACTCAACCTATTTTTAATTGTGTTTAGACCTATCTCCAATAATTTAGACATTTACATTCTGCAATTATTTTAATTATTACTCCATTTTAATCTTGTAGTTTTTTTTCATTTATAAATATTAATCTCAGCACTTTAATTTCATTTTTACAATTCTGCACTTGTTTAATTTTCGTTCTGTTCAACACTGTTTTTAGCGACCCAACTAGTGTAATTCTTGTGAGTTGATACTTAATATTAATTCTTAATGACGATAATCTATTTTGTTACTTCAATAATTTGGTGTACTTACCAAAAAGTTTATCATGCAGCAACATTCTAGTCTGGAGGTGTGAAAGAATTAAAAAGAACTGGGGTCTCGGTACAATTCACCTTTTGTCTAACTTTCCAAAGGAGAATGCTAATGAATGCTAAATTCTCATCTTCAACTTTAAGCAGGTCTTTTCAACTAGATAAAGAAACAGCTCACGGATGAATCCATTGATCTAATATATGTTTCCTTTCAATTTCTAATGACTTATCTTTTTTTTTAATAATTATAATCTATAGTTTTTTTAATAATTGCATATGTATTAAAATTTTACAATTTATGAAAATGAATACACACATGTCGCTATGGCTGGGGCCATATTTGAACCACAGAAAGATTTCTCCAGAAAAAGATCCTAATAACTCATGAGGAGAAATAAAATACAAAAATATATCAAATATCAATCCTAGAATCAAGCAGTCTCCAAGACAATGTCACTTGAGCTACTGCACAAGATATACATGATGATTTTTATTGTTTTTATTTTTCTCCTAATTAATAGAAAAATGTTGAGAAAGAAATCAGGTAGCTAGAAATAATCAACACAGGCTTCTAGTCTAATCTGTAAATCACTGAGTCACAGGAGATGTGATCAAAACAATCAACACGGGGGGCATTGCATTTGCAAAGAAACTAAAACTGGAAGGATGCTGGTTTATTTATAATTCATAAAGTTTTTAAACTATAAGATGATCCTTAAATTCAGTCTTAAGATAACAAAACTTAATAAAAAAGAACAATGTTTAATGTACTGTTAAAAGGATAACATAAGGATATCTTTTGTGTTTTAGAGTGTACTTTTTTAGATGTGTATAAAAAAAGTGAAAGATAAAAATAATTAATTAGATGTGTTAATATTTAAAGATTTACCACAGTCGTTAACTGCAGAAATAAATTATATAAGGCACTATGACACGTAACTTGTTAGTGCGTGTCCCATTTGTGTTTGTAGTGTATGCTATAATGAAAATATTTTCAAACACGTATC